GTTACTTTGTCGCTTGTTCTAAATTGACGTTTTACAATTAGTAAAGGATGCTTGGACTCTCAACTGTGAATCATGTGAAACTGACAACTTGAACTTAGAATCCGAAGTAGTCACAAAAGAGGGTTTTTAAAGACACTCCATTGCTGTTTCTTATTTTTTTTCACAGACTTGTCTTTTTTTTCTTGGTTTTAGTTTTAGGTTCACAATAATACAACAATAATAACCCTGCAACTTGTATATTAGGGCTGTGTTATATTCACAATTACTGAAATTCACTTTGCAGTTGGTAAATTCGTATCAAGTCCAGTCCATTTTAAGCAAGTGACGCATTTAAACCAATCAATAGAGAATTTTACTGGTTACTTTAGCAAAGTGTGTGATATTTGAGACCCTGGCCACATACGTGTCCTTCAATAAGCGAAAACTATGAAAACCTTTGGCCTAATAATGATAAATATCTCCCGTCTCATGATCCTGTTGGTGGGACTGACGCTGTGCATGTTTGTGCCTCATTAGTCTTGGATCCGTTAGAACAGATAAGCACTCAAATATTACTGCTGCAAGGACCATTGGGCACCAGAACGATGCAGAATCTGTCGCCCTTTTTTCACTGTCTCTCGCCCCAAACTTCCTTCATCTCCCCTCTTTTCTGTCTCATTAAGTCCAAGAGCTAAAGATGCGCTACAATTCCACACATCCGAGGCCTTGCAGTGCCTGTACAGTTGGGTCTAGTGCTTCAGCAGCTATGAGTGATACATCATATCTGCGTGAATTTGATACTGTAATAATTCACCTCACCCCAGCCGGCTATTGCTGCGTAACAAACACAGGGAATAATGATAATTCATGAGTGAAATTCACAGCTCAGATTGGTAGCTCTTTTTAGCACCGACTTTGTCAACAAGACTATAAAATCTCCGTATTATAAATGGAAAAGCTCTTTTCTGAGCTTTACACGTGACAGATGTATGGTTTAATAAAGTTGGCAGGGCGTTCATGAAATATGGAAAGGGGGAATTATATTTTATGCTGAAAATAATAAGCAACATGGGAAATAATGTGTTGCTCTTTGCCGCAGTGTTTTTCCATGCCATTAATTTTGGCATTCAAAATCGCGACAAACCGTGAATGAAGACCCCTAATAATGTGTATAACATAAAACTAGTGTCCAACCTCAGTTTGAATCGCTTATAAAGTGTGTCATTTTCTAATGGCTGTAACGGCACGTGTGCAATCAAACCTCCCTCGTGCCCATGAGAACATTGCTGAGGGCCGCCATTCTCTCCAAAGTGCGTTTCTCCGAGGGCAAATGTTGGAAATGGGTCAGCTTTACAAAAACAGCCATTTTCTGTTGATACGCCATAAATATTTGATGATGGCTAACTGCTCTGTAGGGAAAGGCAGATATCAATAAAAAAGGCCATCCAGACGGCGATAAAGTCCACAAGTTGGCAGTCTGTCCAAGAAAATAATTGTTTTTAGAAGCCCTAACTTACGGAGGCGTATTGCATTCACTTGAAGAAAAAAAAATCTCAGTTTTTCTGAATTAACGAGTTATTTTTTCATGAGAAGAAAAAAATTGCTCTGTTTTTCTGAATTAATGAGTTAATTTTTCATGAGAAAAAAAAAATTTGCTCTGTTTTTCTGAATTAACGAGTTATTTTTTCATGAGAAAATTTTTTTGCTCTGTTTTTCTGAATTAACGAGTTAATTTTTCATGAGAAAAAAAATTTTGCTCTGTTTTTCTGAATTAATGAGTTAATTTTTAATGGATTTTTTTTTCTTGCTCTGTTTTTCTGAATTAATGAGTTAATTTTTCATGAGAAAAAAAAATTGCTCTGTTTTTCTGAATTAATGAGTTAATTTTTAATGGATTTTTTTTTTTTGCTCTGTTTTTCTGAATTAATGAGTTAATTCAGAAAAACAGCAAAAATAAATTCTCATGAAAAATTAACTCATTAATTCAGAAAAACAGAGCAAAAACTTTTTTTCTCAAGAAACACTAACTCATTAATTCAGAAAAACAGAGCAATTTTTTTTTCTCATGAAAAATTAACTCATTAATTCAGAAAAACAGAGCAAACATTTTTTTCTCATGAAAAATTAACTCGTTAATTCAGAAAAACAGAGCAAAAAAAAATTTTCTCATGAAAAATTAACTCATTAATTCAGAAAAACAGAGCAATTTTTTTTTCTCATGAAAAATTAACTCGTTAATTCAGAAAAACAGAGTAGATTTTTTTTTCTTCAAGTAAATGCAATACGCCTCCGTACTAACTAGATGGTAAACTAGATTTGCATTTCCCAAAGGAAACACCTGTGCTTACAACGAAGGCACGATAATATTGTAAAAGTTTTAGGAAAGCGGTTTGGCTTTAGTTCTACGTAAATGAAATGTCGCATCAACAAGTGTATATGTCAGGGTTGTGTCTTTTGTTTGTGTTTGACTTTGAATTGGTTTTCAGTGTTCCTCATTGTTTCTATAGTTTCTCGTGGATTACTTAGTGTTTGCAGCTCATGTAAATTTATTTAATTGGTTTGTTTCAATGTATTTAAGCTGTGTTGATGTCAGTGTCTGTTATTCAGCTTGTGTCTTGTTTAATAAACTATATCACTGCTGCAATTAGATCATGTTCCCCTTAGAATTTCAACTGGCTGTTACAATGATTAATATTTCATATGAAGTGGAGTGGGAACCCTAAAATAGCTAAACAACATTTGGCTAAAATAAAACAGATCTATATGAATATACCACAACATTTTCATGACCATGTTACTACACAATCAAGACAGATTGAATTCTGAAGAACTTTGAAAGCGATTTCACTTTATTTTGATGGTTCCTTCTGTTGGTATTGCACCCACATGTCGTAGAGTAGAGTATTAGTAGACTGTTAGGGTTAGAATAAGTTGACATACTTGCAAAGTTACAGTCAGTATGATGTATTTTGGAGGAGCATCACGTTAGCAGATTTTAAGCAAACAGTCTACTAATACTCTAATGAGAGTTAGTTGACATGTAAGTGCAAAATTACTTAGTTAACAGAATGTTCAAAAGGAACCATTAAAATGAAGTGTTACTCCTTTACTTGATTAATGCCATTCATTAGATTGGTGTCTTGATTACCTCAGAGAGCCCAGGTCTTCTCCATCATGTGGAAATCAATGTATGCATGGAGCAGCTAATGACGTAGTAAAAGTGACTTCTGTCCCTCCCTCCATTTTTCTTTCTCTCTCTAGATAGAAAACAGATTTACTGCCATGATAAACAAGGTTTTTACATCGTAAAAGCATTAAAAAAATATCACCCAAATGTGCAAACTCTCTGTCTGCAGCCTTTCAGGAATCCGCAGAGCTGGAATATCCCCATTGACGTTTAATAACAGCATATAGATTGATAGATAAATTATGTAACTGTTCGGCATGGACGCGTATCGATTTCTCCCTGTGTTCCAGGGTTTTCTCCAGGTGATTTGTCACACAGCTGTGTGTTTGTGTCTTCAATGAGAGCTAATGTGGTTTGGGAGGGGAGACTGAATTCAGGTCCAACACAATCGACGTTTGTCGCAAGACAATAGAAAGAGCGAGAAAGAAAGAGAGAGAGAAAGCTGAATAAATATCTGCAGGGTAAATATGCTTGTTTGCTGGTCCATATGATATTCATAATGTGTACAATCAATAATTCATAAATGGCAAGTTGAATTATAAGTGGCGCTAATTTGCCCTTAATTTCTTTTTTTTATTTTATTTAGGCCTATTTATTTATTTCTATGCTTTTCTGCTAATCAATTATATATATATATATATATATATATATATATATAAAATTTGGAACGTTTTACTTTACACCTGTAAAATACACCTGTAGTAATTAAGATGAATTTACAGTGTAACTGTCTGTAATTATAGTTGCAAGTGTAAGGGATCAATCTGTAAACTTTGGATAAATAAACCAGGATAAATAATTTATATATTTTATATTTATTTATTTATTTATTTATTTTATAAATGCATAAAATGTAACCGGTCATTAAAAACTAAAAAGCCTATACAGTATGTATTGCCTTGGTACACAATTATAGCAAAAAGGTACAAAAAAGTTACTAAATTGATCCCAAATGTAAGATGGTTGTATCATAATATTAGAATAAGTACCCATTAGTTCTATAATACTTACAGTATATAATAAGTACCCATTAGTTCTATAATACTTACAGTATATATATATATATATATATATATATATATATATATACATACACACACACACACACTGTTCACGTCTGCTGAGCCAGAGACTGTTCAGATGGATAGATGGATTGACAGATATAGATAGATAGAAGGATAGATGGGTGGATGGATGGATGGATGAATGAATGGATGGATGGAAGGAAGGACAGATAGATATGGATGGATGGACGGATGGATGGATGGATGGGTGGAAGGAAGGAAGGACGGGCAGATAGATAGATATGGATGGATGGATGGATGGATGGAAGGAAGGGCTGATAGATAGATATAGATGGATGGATGGATGGAAGGAAGGGCTGATAGATAGATATAGATGGATGGATGGATGGAAGGAAGGGCTGATAGATAGATATAGATGGATGGATGGATGGAAGGAAGGAAGGAAGGAAGGACAGATAGATATGGATGGATGGACGGATGGATGGAAGGAAGGAAGGAAGGACAGATAGATATAAATGGATGGACGGATGGATGGATGGATGGATGGAAGGAAGGACAGATAGATATGGATGGATGGATGGACAGTTGGATGGATGGATGGATGGATGAATGGAAGGACGGGCAGATAGATAGATATATAAGGATGGATGGACGGATGGATGGAAGGAAGGAAGGACAGGCAGATAGATAGATATAGATGGATGGATGGATGGATGGATGGATGGAAGGACGGGCAGATATATATAGATGGATGGATGGATGGATAGCAAGTATTTAATTCTAATTAAAGGTTATGTAGTTCCACTTACCATCATAAACCAGTTTTTGCTCTTTTATCTTTTACATATTTCTCACTGCCTTAAAGTTAATTCCAGAGGTTGGAGGAAAAAAAGGGGACGGGAGTGTAAATTGGAGTGTCTCTTCCTCCCCGCGGGGCTTCTGTTCGTTGGGTTGGTTTGGACAGATAGGCGGCAGCTGCAAGGGAATGATAGTGTGGTTAGCCGTCGCAGCCCAGTGCAATAATCCCAGTCCTGGCTGAACCAGAGAAAGAGAGCTGTGCTCTAACAGTGGGGCTTCAGCCATACCTCAAGTATCATCCTGAACAGCTGTTCTCAGGCCTGTAGGTGAGACAGGGCAAGTGGAGGAGCCATGGGACACTTAAGAGGCGTCTTCAGCTGACTCACTGACTGGCCTGCGAGAGCAGATGAGGGAAGAGATGAGATTACCGGTGTATCAGATGCGTGGTATGTCAAAGACCATGGCTGTGTGGTTAGATGATGATGACTGAATTAATGAATGGCCTTATGTGCATTTACTTGTTAGTCGCAGTTTGTTAGGAATGAAAATACACAGGAAAGGAATGATTATTAGAGGCTAAAATCAGGCTATATCCTTTTATTTCTAAATGATGACTATTTTTGATCTAAAAAACATACTAACATTATAAGGGCAACCCAGGAAACATTATAAAATAATAAAATAACCCCATTGCAGGGGACCTTTACCCATTTCAGATAACTGAGTACCAATTCAGCACATTGAAATGATTTCTGAAAGATCATGTGACTGGAATTCAATGCCAGCTGTGCCAAAGGTTTACAGTTGCTTCGAATCTTAGAAAACTATAACATTCAATCTGAGAGCCTAATTTACTTTAATTCACCCTACAAACAAATTCAACTAGTTGTCTCATTGCCATTGCTTGTTTAGTGTGGCCGCAGCTTGTCAAATCCATTGTTCGTTTTACTCCTTACAGCTGGTGCTATTTATCTTTTTGTCATTTCCTTTAGAGTGTTTCTTTTCTGATTGTTTGCTTTAATGTATTCTGGTCGTGGAGAACGTCACAATGGCTAAACTGAAAATGCAGTCACTCTCTCTAGGATCGTCTATTTCAAAAACAAGCATGTGCTCAATTAATCATAGTCTCAGTTGAATAAAAAAAATCCTTCACATCATTCCCTAACGCACAAACACACAGACATCATTCTGGCCGCATCCAATCCCTGGACTCTCAGACTCCTTTCCACAGTCTTTTTATGATATTGTTGTTTTGTTTACCATCGAGTCGAGTCCACAGCCGAATGTCTCTTAGAATATATAATTGAATTACTCTGGGGTGCCACTTTGTTTATTAGACGCAGTTGCGTCTTGTTTTTAGACGCAGATGAGCTCCATGTGGCATTGACCGGCCCATTCCAGAGCGTGGTTTCATCAGATTAAATAAAGATTACAAAACTGTGGAGCAGATGATGATGATGGCTCTGGGGTATCTTGTGGAGATATGAGGGGAGATAAAACAATCAAACCCACCTCGGTAGCAAACTGACCCCCAGCGCTCCCGAATCAAGGCCCCTGCCCCGGAGGCACTATTATTTTTATATCAAAGCGTTTGAACGAAGAGTCGTTTTTCCGTAACTTCTAAATTAGAACGTTCATGCAAAATTGATAGCCGTTTATTTAATACAGCCACTCTGTTGTGCGCTAACTTTGAAGTATACACTTTAGACAACTGATGAGCTCAGACAACGAAGGGTTTTTTTTGTCCGTCCAAATGTGAAAGTGTCTCATCTCTGGAATGGGTTATGCCATAGTGATGGCTCTTTGTGGTTTTCAGTGTCTGCCATACAGCAAAATGGGGGTCAGGGGAGAAATAGGCCTATTAATATTTCACGATGAAAGAGCTTCATCCCGGTCTATTTCAGCCAGTAGCCACAAGTAGCCTACTTCCTTCGGCTCTGCTCCCATTTATCAATTAGTGGACCTCTTTTTTTTTTTTTCTTTTTTCTTCCAGGGGCATAACATTAAACCTAAAAGGAGCTTATCTCATCTGTGACAAAGTGTTTTCCCTCTATGGCTGTAGCTAGAAAGAACCTTTAATGTTAAGTGACACATTTGAACATGGGAAATGGGGCCTTACTGTCAATTTATATCCTATATGTCAATGTTTTAGGATTTAAATAAGCAAGAGTGACCTCACATTCACACGACTAATATCACGGATTATTCATGAAAATGCCATTCGATTGAGTTATTTTATTTTAATGCAACATCCCTGATATTATTAATTTCATAAAATAGTAATATATATATATATATATATATATATATATACATATTATGGGGGTATGGGGGGCCAAACAGGAAATAATGAAATGTAATCCCGAATATATAGTTATAACTCCGAATATATAAATGTAAATCCCGAATATATAGTTAAAACTCCAAATATATAAATGTAATCCTGAATATATAGTTATAACTCCGAATATATAAATGTAATCCTGAATATATAGTTATAACTCTGAATATATAAATGTAATCCTGAATATATAGTTATAACTCTGAATATATAAATGTAATCCTGAATATATAGTTATAACTCTGAATATATAAATGTAAATCTGAATATATAAATGTAAATCCTGAATATATAGTTATAACGCTGAATATTTAAATGTGAATCCTGAATATATTAATGTAAATCCCGAATATATAGGTATAACTCTGAATATATAAATGTAAATCTGAATATATATATATATATATATATATATATATATATATATATATATATATATATACACACACACACTCTAAAAAATGCTGGGTTGTTTTAACCCAATTTTGGGTAAAATATGGACAAACCCAGCCATTGGGTAAAAAATGTCATTTAAAAATGTAACCCAATGGCTGGGTTTGTCCATATTTTGTCCATATATATATATATATATATATATATATATATATATATATATATATATATATATATATATATATATATATTAATTCTGCTCCACCAAAACGTTGCGTCTCACATTCTCTCCTAAGCTCAGTTCTCAGATCTGTGTTTTTGAATGATGCAAAACATGGAAAGGGCTTTAACACCGATGCTTTAATATATTTACATTATGAAATATGATGTATATTATTCCTTACATAATGTTCACACAGAGCAGAGGGGGGTTCAATCATCCTGAAAGGGTTTATTTTGTGAAAACAACTGTCTGGATTCACATTGCCATGCCTTAATACACTGTTATTATACATAAGTACTGTAGTTAGAATAATTAACTATGTACTTAGTATAAGGTTAGGATTAGGGTTATGGTTTAGAGTAAGTTAAATGTAATTATGCATAATGTATTGTTATTACAATAGTAATTGCATGTAATGTGTAACAATGACAGTAAAATAAAGTGTTAGCGGTTTTGGTTTAGGGTTAGTTACTTGTAATTATGCATAATTTACTGTTATCAGCCTAGTATAATAAGTATCTTGTGTAACTGTCACCTTACAATAAAGTTCTGTACAATGTACAACATAATCGACGGGCAAAAAGATAATATTTACAACGATATTAACAGTGTATTTGTCTGATTTCAGTTTTAATCAAATTAATAGGCCAATACACTGCATGGTGCCAAAATGAATACATATTAGCCACGTTTATGTAAATATATTTGATATTTCGAATGTTCTGGAAATAAATTTTAAGATAATAACCTTAAGTTGGTTACTTGAGTTTTTGTCTCACAATTTCGAATTTTGACCTTCAAACACAGCCAGGAGTGTAGTCAGATGATCAACTCAGGCAGAGCATTCAGAGTCACTACAATCATACTCAAGGACACTTTTTAAGGGCAGAAGCATCATGCTAATCCGTCCTCTTGCCAAATTAAACAGAGATCTTAATAAGACAACGCTAGTTGTACAAAAAAGTTATTTAAAGTTACCTAAGTAAACATGTTTTGAGTTTCTGTGAGTTTAAGCTCAGGGGAGATCTGTGGCTGTAGAGTCACGCGCTTCAGGCTTAAGGAGAGAACTGACAGGTCATGTAACAGGCTTAGCGAAGAAAATGAGGAAAGTGGAAATAATTGAAACAGCTATACTTTGTCTAAGTGGGGCACAATTATAAAATACAGGATATAACACTCATTTATAAAGTATTCAGACTAATATGGCGGTGAATCATTTCCACTTTCACAGAGATTATTCAATGAACTGATTCACGAACCAAAATCCTCGCTCACGGTTCTTATTAGATGTTACAGTAAAGCCAGATTCACACAAATCATTTTGATCACTTTGAAAGTATTATACATAAATAAAAATGTGTTTTCAATTGAAATGTCAGTTTTAAAACTTCAACTAAAAGCTGATTTCCATTTAGTTTAACTTGATGTTCCAAGCTAACTAAAACTATATATACAGTGTCATTGAGATCATTGTTAATGTTATTTTAAAGTTTGTATTTGTATTGTTTGTATTTTTTTCAGTTTTCATTTTAATTTAAGTTAAAGTTTTAGTTTTTGTGTGTGTATATATATATATATATATATATATATATATATATATATATATGCCAGGCACAATATATTTTAAAAGATTTAATTTATATTTGAAATTTATAATTTGAAAATTTATATTTATATTTGAAAATTAATGATCCAGCTCATTAAACAAGAGAACATAAATTGTGTGAGAGGAAGAGAAACAAAGTAGAAAGAGCAATGCCAAAAGTGCTGTACTTTTGACAGCAAACCTTTCCCTGAAAAAAGTGTGTTATTTATTTATTTTTTTTCTTTCTTTCTGGTTTTTACCACTGCCATGTCATTGGAGCCTGAAATTCAATTTCATTCCAGATTCAACACAGGAAATATTTGGTTGGACACACCAATCATTTAACAATCAGTATTGTCAGAGGGGATATTTGAGTGTGTGTGTTCAGGACAGGCAGAGCATGACTGCATCTATCTGAAATAGAATGCATTTTTTCAATCAGTACAAAGCTTTCACAATTTCCACCTGTTTTTTTTTTTTTTTTTTTTTTTTTTTGTAAATGACATCAGAGCAAGCTTTGCTGCCATTAACTTCAATCAACACTCAAAGCCTTGCAAAGTCTAATAATAGTGTCATTTTACAAATATTTTCAACTCATGCTGTCCTGTGGAGTCAGAATTGTGAAGAATTTTTTAGACCACTGAGATGTGCTGTGTGATGTTAGCCCCAAGGGAATTGTTTAAATATCCAAGGGGATAGTTGTCATACTTTAACTTCATGCAGTGAACATAAAGTGTGCAGACACAAACTTTAAGGGATACACCAGGCAAGTAGCAGAAGGTACTTCAATACCTTCTACACATAATCAGGTAATCACAGGCCTGAATAACACAGTCTTTGTTGTTTCG